GTATGAGAACAGAGAGAGAGAGAGAGAGAGAGAGAGAAAGAAAGAAAGAAAGAAAGAAAGAAAGAAAGAAAGAGAGAGAGAGAGAGAGAGAGAGAGAAAGAAAGAAAGAAAGAAAGAAAGAAAGAAAGAAAGAGAGAGAGAGAGAGAGAGAGAGAGAAAGAAAGAAAGAAAGAAAGAAAGAAAGAAAGAAAGAGAGAGAGAGAGAGAGAGAGAGAGAAAGAAAGAAAGAAAGAAAGAAAGAAAGAAAGAAAGAGAGAGAGAGAGAGAGAGAGAGAGAAAGAAAGAAAGAAAGAAAGAAAGAAAGAAAGAAAGAGAGAGAGAGAGAGAGAGAGAGAGAAAGAAAGAAAGAAAGAAAGAAAGAAAGAAAGAAAGAGAGAGAGAGAGAGAGAGAGAGAGAAAGAAAGAAAGAAAGAAAGAAAGAAAGAAAGAAAGAGAGAGAGAGAGAGAGAGAGAGAGAAAGAAAGAAAGAAAGAAAGAAAGAAAGAAAGAAAGAGAGAGAGAGAGAGAGAGAGAGAGAAAGAAAGAAAGAAAGAAAGAAAGAAAGAAAGAAAGAGAGAGAGAGAGAGAGAGAGAGAGAAAGAAAGAAAGAAAGAAAGAAAGAAAGAAAGAAAGAGAGAGAGAGAGAGAGAGAGAGAGAAAGAAAGAAAGAAAGAAAGAAAGAAAGAAAGAAAGAGAGAGAGAGAGAGAGAGAGAGAGAAAGAAAGAAAGAAAGAAAGAAAGAAAGAAAGAAAGAGAGAGAGAGAGAGAGAGAGAGAGAAAGAAAGAAAGAAAGAAAGAAAGAAAGAAAGAAAGAGAGAGAGAGAGAGAGAGAGAGAGAAAGAAAGAAAGAAAGAAAGAAAGAAAGAAAGAAAGAGAGAGAGAGAGAGAGAGAGAGAGAAAGAAAGAAAGAAAGAAAGAAAGAAAGAAAGAAAGAGAGAGAGAGAGAGAGAGAGAGAGAAAGAAAGAAAGAAAGAAAGAAAGAAAGAAAGAAAGAGAGAGAGAGAGAGAGAGAGAGAGAAAGAAAGAAAGAAAGAAAGAAAGAAAGAAAGAAAGAGAGAGAGAGAGAGAGAGAGAGAGAAAGAAAGAAAGAAAGAAAGAAAGAAAGAAAGAAAGAGAGAGAGAGAGAGAGAGAGAGAGAAAGAAAGAAAGAAAGAAAGAAAGAAAGAAAGAAAGAGAGAGAGAGAGAGAGAGAGAGAGAAAGAAAGAAAGAAAGAAAGAAAGAAAGAAAGAAAGAGAGAGAGAGAGAGAGAGAGAGAGAAAGAAAGAAAGAAAGAAAGAAAGAAAGAAAGAAAGAGAGAGAGAGAGAGAGAGAGAGAGAAAGAAAGAAAGAAAGAAAGAAAGAAAGAAAGAAAGAGAGAGAGAGAGAGAGAGAGAGAGAAAGAAAGAAAGAAAGAAAGAAAGAAAGAAAGAAAGAGAGAGAGAGAGAGAGAGAGAGAGAAAGAAAGAAAGAAAGAAAGAAAGAAAGAAAGAAAGAGAGAGAGAGAGAGAGAGAGAGAGAAAGAAAGAAAGAAAGAAAGAAAGAAAGAAAGAAAGAGAGAGAGAGAGAGAGAGAGAGAGAAAGAAAGAAAGAAAGAAAGAAAGAAAGAAAGAAAGAGAGAGAGAGAGAGAGAGAGAGAGAAAGAAAGAAAGAAAGAAAGAAAGAAAGAAAGAAAGAGAGAGAGAGAGAGAGAGAGAGAGAAAGAAAGAAAGAAAGAAAGAAAGAAAGAAAGAAAGAGAGAGAGAGAGAGAGAGAGAGAGAAAGAAAGAAAGAAAGAAAGAAAGAAAGAAAGAAAGAGAGAGAGAGAGAGAGAGAGAGAGAAAGAAAGAAAGAAAGAAAGAAAGAAAGAAAGAAAGAGAGAGAGAGAGAGAGAGAGAGAGAAAGAAAGAAAGAAAGAAAGAAAGAAAGAAAGAAAGAGAGAGAGAGAGAGAGAGAGAGAGAAAGAAAGAAAGAAAGAAAGAAAGAAAGAAAGAAAGAGAGAGAGAGAGAGAGAGAGAGAGAAAGAAAGAAAGAAAGAAAGAAAGAAAGAAAGAAAGAGAGAGAGAGAGAGAGAGAGAGAGAAAGAAAGAAAGAAAGAAAGAAAGAAAGAAAGAAAGAGAGAGAGAGAGAGAGAGAGAGAGAAAGAAAGAAAGAAAGAAAGAAAGAAAGAAAGAAAGAGAGAGAGAGAGAGAGAGAGAGAGAAAGAAAGAAAGAAAGAAAGAAAGAAAGAAAGAAAGAGAGAGAGAGAGAGAGAGAGAGAGAAAGAAAGAAAGAAAGAAAGAAAGAAAGAAAGAAAGAGAGAGAGAGAGAGAGAGAGAGAGAAAGAAAGAAAGAAAGAAAGAAAGAAAGAAAGAAAGAGAGAGAGAGAGAGAGAGAGAGAGAAAGAAAGAAAGAAAGAAAGAAAGAAAGAAAGAAAGAGAGAGAGAGAGAGAGAGAGAGAGAAAGAAAGAAAGAAAGAAAGAAAGAAAGAAAGAAAGAGAGAGAGAGAGAGAGAGAGAGAGAAAGAAAGAAAGAAAGAAAGAAAGAAAGAAAGAAAGAGAGAGAGAGAGAGAGAGAGAGAGAAAGAAAGAAAGAAAGAAAGAAAGAAAGAAAGAAAGAGAGAGAGAGAGAGAGAGAGAGAGAAAGAAAGAAAGAAAGAAAGAAAGAAAGAAAGAAAGAGAGAGAGAGAGAGAGAGAGAGAGAAAGAAAGAAAGAAAGAAAGAAAGAAAGAAAGAAAGAGAGAGAGAGAGAGAGAGAGAGAGAAAGAAAGAAAGAAAGAAAGAAAGAAAGAAAGAAAGAGAGAGAGAGAGAGAGAGAGAGAGAAAGAAAGAAAGAAAGAAAGAAAGAAAGAAAGAAAGAGAGAGAGAGAGAGAGAGAGAGAGAAAGAAAGAAAGAAAGAAAGAAAGAAAGAAAGAAAGAGAGAGAGAGAGAGAGAGAGAGAGAAAGAAAGAAAGAAAGAAAGAAAGAAAGAAAGAAAGAGAGAGAGAGAGAGAGAGAGAGAGAAAGAAAGAAAGAAAGAAAGAAAGAAAGAAAGAAAGAGAGAGAGAGAGAGAGAGAGAGAGAAAGAAAGAAAGAAAGAAAGAAAGAAAGAAAGAAAGAGAGAGAGAGAGAGAGAGAGAGAGAAAGAAAGAAAGAAAGAAAGAAAGAAAGAAAGAAAGAGAGAGAGAGAGAGAGAGAGAGAGAAAGAAAGAAAGAAAGAAAGAAAGAAAGAAAGAAAGAGAGAGAGAGAGAGAGAGAGAGAGAAAGAAAGAAAGAAAGAAAGAAAGAAAGAAAGAAAGAGAGAGAGAGAGAGAGAGAGAGAGAAAGAAAGAAAGAAAGAAAGAAAGAAAGAAAGAAAGAGAGAGAGAGAGAGAGAGAGAGAGAAAGAAAGAAAGAAAGAAAGAAAGAAAGAAAGAAAGAGAGAGAGAGAGAGAGAGAGAGAGAAAGAAAGAAAGAAAGAAAGAAAGAAAGAAAGAAAGAGAGAGAGAGAGAGAGAGAGAGAGAAAGAAAGAAAGAAAGAAAGAAAGAAAGAAAGAAAGAGAGAGAGAGAGAGAGAGAGAGAGAAAGAAAGAAAGAAAGAAAGAAAGAAAGAAAGAAAGAGAGAGAGAGAGAGAGAGAGAGAGAAAGAAAGAAAGAAAGAAAGAAAGAAAGAAAGAAAGAGAGAGAGAGAGAGAGAGAGAGAGAAAGAAAGAAAGAAAGAAAGAAAGAAAGAAAGAAAGAGAGAGAGAGAGAGAGAGAGAGAGAAAGAAAGAAAGAAAGAAAGAAAGAAAGAAAGAAAGAGAGAGAGAGAGAGAGAGAGAGAGAAAGAAAGAAAGAAAGAAAGAAAGAAAGAAAGAAAGAGAGAGAGAGAGAGAGAGAGAGAGAAAGAAAGAAAGAAAGAAAGAAAGAAAGAAAGAAAGAGAGAGAGAGAGAGAGAGAGAGAGAAAGAAAGAAAGAAAGAAAGAAAGAAAGAAAGAAAGAGAGAGAGAGAGAGAGAGAGAGAGAAAGAAAGAAAGAAAGAAAGAAAGAAAGAAAGAAAGAGAGAGAGAGAGAGAGAGAGAGAGAAAGAAAGAAAGAAAGAAAGAAAGAAAGAAAGAAAGAGAGAGAGAGAGAGAGAGAGAGAGAAAGAAAGAAAGAAAGAAAGAAAGAAAGAAAGAAAGAGAGAGAGAGAGAGAGAGAGAGAGAAAGAAAGAAAGAAAGAAAGAAAGAAAGAAAGAAAGAGAGAGAGAGAGAGAGAGAGAGAGAAAGAAAGAAAGAAAGAAAGAAAGAAAGAAAGAAAGAGAGAGAGAGAGAGAGAGAGAGAGAAAGAAAGAAAGAAAGAAAGAAAGAAAGAAAGAAAGAGAGAGAGAGAGAGAGAGAGAGAGAAAGAAAGAAAGAAAGAAAGAAAGAAAGAAAGAAAGAGAGAGAGAGAGAGAGAGAGAGAGAAAGAAAGAAAGAAAGAAAGAAAGAAAGAAAGAAAGAGAGAGAGAGAGAGAGAGAGAGAGAAAGAAAGAAAGAAAGAAAGAAAGAAAGAAAGAAAGAGAGAGAGAGAGAGAGAGAGAGAGAAAGAAAGAAAGAAAGAAAGAAAGAAAGAAAGAAAGAGAGAGAGAGAGAGAGAGAGAGAGAAAGAAAGAAAGAAAGAAAGAAAGAAAGAAAGAAAGAGAGAGAGAGAGAGAGAGAGAGAGAAAGAAAGAAAGAAAGAAAGAAAGAAAGAAAGAAAGAGAGAGAGAGAGAGAGAGAGAGAGAAAGAAAGAAAGAAAGAAAGAAAGAAAGAAAGAAAGAGAGAGAGAGAGAGAGAGAGAGAGAAAGAAAGAAAGAAAGAAAGAAAGAAAGAAAGAAAGAGAGAGAGAGAGAGAGAGAGAGAGAAAGAAAGAAAGAAAGAAAGAAAGAAAGAAAGAAAGAGAGAGAGAGAGAGAGAGAGAGAGAAAGAAAGAAAGAAAGAAAGAAAGAAAGAAAGAAAGAGAGAGAGAGAGAGAGAGAGAGAGAAAGAAAGAAAGAAAGAAAGAAAGAAAGAAAGAAAGAGAGAGAGAGAGAGAGAGAGAGAGAAAGAAAGAAAGAAAGAAAGAAAGAAAGAAAGAAAGAGAGAGAGAGAGAGAGAGAGAGAGAAAGAAAGAAAGAAAGAAAGAAAGAAAGAAAGAAAGAGAGAGAGAGAGAGAGAGAGAGAGAAAGAAAGAAAGAAAGAAAGAAAGAAAGAAAGAAAGAGAGAGAGAGAGAGAGAGAGAGAGAAAGAAAGAAAGAAAGAAAGAAAGAAAGAAAGAAAGAGAGAGAGAGAGAGAGAGAGAGAGAAAGAAAGAAAGAAAGAAAGAAAGAAAGAAAGAAAGAGAGAGAGAGAGAGAGAGAGAGAGAAAGAAAGAAAGAAAGAAAGAAAGAAAGAAAGAAAGAGAGAGAGAGAGAGAGAGAGAGAGAAAGAAAGAAAGAAAGAAAGAAAGAAAGAAAGAAAGAGAGAGAGAGAGAGAGAGAGAGAGAAAGAAAGAAAGAAAGAAAGAAAGAAAGAAAGAAAGAGAGAGAGAGAGAGAGAGAGAGAGAAAGAAAGAAAGAAAGAAAGAAAGAAAGAAAGAAAGAGAGAGAGAGAGAGAGAGAGAGAGAAAGAAAGAAAGAAAGAAAGAAAGAAAGAAAGAAAGAGAGAGAGAGAGAGAGAGAGAGAGAAAGAAAGAAAGAAAGAAAGAAAGAAAGAAAGAAAGAGAGAGAGAGAGAGAGAGAGAGAGAAAGAAAGAAAGAAAGAAAGAAAGAAAGAAAGAAAGAGAGAGAGAGAGAGAGAGAGAGAGAAAGAAAGAAAGAAAGAAAGAAAGAAAGAAAGAAAGAGAGAGAGAGAGAGAGAGAGAGAGAAAGAAAGAAAGAAAGAAAGAAAGAAAGAAAGAAAGAGAGAGAGAGAGAGAGAGAGAGAGAAAGAAAGAAAGAAAGAAAGAAAGAAAGAAAGAAAGAGAGAGAGAGAGAGAGAGAGAGAGAAAGAAAGAAAGAAAGAAAGAAAGAAAGAAAGAAAGAGAGAGAGAGAGAGAGAGAGAGAGAAAGAAAGAAAGAAAGAAAGAAAGAAAGAAAGAAAGAGAGAGAGAGAGAGAGAGAGAGAGAAAGAAAGAAAGAAAGAAAGAAAGAAAGAAAGAAAGAGAGAGAGAGAGAGAGAGAGAGAGAAAGAAAGAAAGAAAGAAAGAAAGAAAGAAAGAAAGAGAGAGAGAGAGAGAGAGAGAGAGAAAGAAAGAAAGAAAGAAAGAAAGAAAGAAAGAAAGAGAGAGAGAGAGAGAGAGAGAGAGAAAGAAAGAAAGAAAGAAAGAAAGAAAGAAAGAAAGAGAGAGAGAGAGAGAGAGAGAGAGAAAGAAAGAAAGAAAGAAAGAAAGAAAGAAAGAAAGAGAGAGAGAGAGAGAGAGAGAGAGAAAGAAAGAAAGAAAGAAAGAAAGAAAGAAAGAAAGAGAGAGAGAGAGAGAGAGAGAGAGAAAGAAAGAAAGAAAGAAAGAAAGAAAGAAAGAAAGAGAGAGAGAGAGAGAGAGAGAGAGAAAGAAAGAAAGAAAGAAAGAAAGAAAGAAAGAAAGAGAGAGAGAGAG